TACGAGTACGATTCGCTCAACAGGGAGCTAGCCAGCCCTGTAGTCTTCACTCTTCATACACCCATTAGAGATTGAGTTTCCACCGATGACGTTAGGTAACGTTTTCGTAAAAACATTAATGTCCGATGTGAATCCACTGAAGTTAAATGATTTGTAATGTTCGAACTTTGTAATAGTTCCTGGTCAAATATCTGAAGTTTTCCGATTGGTGAGTGTTATAATAATCAGTTATAGCTTCCGAAGATTATAGCACACTGACTATAGCAAACTAATAATAGATACTCCCCCTTTTCTTTCTTTTTTTTTTTGGCGCGGCGCGTTAGTTATATTTATAGGCGTGCTGAAGTTTTCTAGAAAATTCAGATTACGTAACAATACAAATGTAAGCGTTTACGTACATACTTATATTGTTGATTCTTACTCTCGAGAATCTTCTACAACTTTGAAGAACAGGCGGGAGTTTTACAATACATATTTAACAATATAAGCTATGTATGTTTCTAAATAGAAACTTAATCTAAACAAACATTGATATTAAAATAAATATATAATAACACATTCGTTACAAGGTTGATAAGCCTTGTCTTAACAGATACATAAATGAAATATATGATATATTTTCTAGCACATTTAACCAGTAAGTACAGAAAAATTTTCAAGTTATTACATAAAGTCAGTAATATGAGGCGACTAACACAAGCCTTTAATGTGTTGACGGTAATTCAAGAATGGGAGAAAAACTAGATTCATAACTTTAGACACGACATCTGCACTTTAGGTTCAGGAATGTAATGCTCTAAAGGCCGAGATTAGTAATCTAACAGAGAGAGAGTATAGACAGGAAGAACACGCAAGATATACATTACAAGAAACGAATAATATATATATATATATATTATTACGAAAAAAACATTAACTTATGAAAAGACTTAGAATTTTCATGGCATGAAGTCAATACTTGAAAGAAGAGCGTTTCATGATACAAAAGTTATAAAAGACGTTCCGGCCTCGGTGTATGTTAAACGCATAACTATCGTAATAACGTTAAAACTTTTCTTCTTGTTAAAAAATTATTTCGACATGTACATTCTTTCATTGCGATAAGATCTTGCTAACATAAGTTGTACTTCTTGAAAAATAAAAACAGTTTTATTTTTGTAAAATCTTCTTATAATCAGGTTAATTCTTTTAAGTGATGCATTAAACTTTTTGCGAAATGAGTACAGATTCATTTTCAGTAATTGTATTCTTTCTTCGATTACAAAATGAATCCTTTAAAACGTTACTCTCAAGAAACATTCAGAACTTATTTTGGTTAATAGATAAGATTCTTTGTTTGAAGCTGAGCACAAAGCAACACAATGGGCTATCTGTGCTCTGCCCGCCACTGGTATCGGAACCCGGATTCTAGCGCCACTGGGGGGGAGCTAATAGATGCAAACTATGTACTTTCCATTCATACAGAAGCGCTGTATTATGTTTATCATAATTGGAATACAAGATAGATAAAAATGCATTTCTTAAAACAAAACACGTGTTAAAGGTGTAGTTACGTCTGTATACCTACGTTCTTGTTAACCTCACAGAAAACATGTTTTTTTCATGTGTATAATCAGAACCTTTTAATGAACTTTTAAAATGGTTGAAACACTTTTTATCCATCTGAAATCAGAAATAGATTTAAAGAGTTTTCTATTAATTTAAAATAACGTTCTACTTTCAAATTTCAAACCAATATCAAGTGATTGAGTTCACTTGTTTTAACGATATATTTATGTTCATCGTGGGACGTTTCGTCTGTTGTTACTCGATCAGACTTCATTCCGTCGTGTGTACAATGCTGATATTTGCACTTCACGAAGCATACGCGGACAAATTGAATAGTCCAACTAATGACCAGTTGTCGTTCATATAAAGCAAAGGTTCAGTAGGAAATGGCTGAAAGCCTTGTAAAGCACTCTGGCATACTTAAAAGTTTTAACAACACTGAGTAGTAAATCGGTCTGTTTGTTCTTAAGCACAAAGCTACATATGGGCTATTTGTGCTGTACCATCCACGTGTATCGAAGTCAGGTTTTTAGCATTATAAGCCTTCATACTTACCGCTGAACCACTGGGAGGATGGGATAAATAATAAATAATATCTTATTGGAGGAAAATTCATAACTACAATATTCTGCATAAAAGAGTAACTAACTGAAAAGTTAGATGATCGTATGGGCTAGAGACATGATAGCAATTATTTCATTGCTATCACGGTTCGTAGCCCGCAATTATTTCATTGCTATCATGGTTCGTAGCCCACAATTATTTCATTGCTATCACGGTTCGTATTGTGGGCTACGAACCGTGAAAGCAACGAAATAATTGCGGGCTTATTTCATTGCTATCACGGTTCCTAGCTCATACTATCACCTAATTTTTCAATTAGTTACTCTTTTTTCATATTCATCAATTATCAGATACCTTTTACCCTATGTTTCGGTTGTTAATATGTTACTGGGTGTACTGATAATGACTGTAAGTAGTGAAAACAGCTAGAACTCGAACATGAATATTCTTAATAGGAAGACTGGAATTTAGCCACTCCAGGCTCTCTTCCCGTTGAGCCCGATTCTAGGCACCAAACCATGGCAACGATTAATATCGGTCGCCACAACTTCACCATATGTATTTTATTATTTTATACAAGTGACCAATATATTAACAAACTTATCCCAAACACTAAAAACACGATAATCTTCACTTTTAACAGAGCATAGCAAATTTTAGGTCATGTTTTGCGTGACACTCAACCTTGTTATTACTTGTTCTTAATAAAAATTTAAAAAAAAATACATACTCACATATCTCAAATTAAATTTAATTTTTTTCTTATAATTTTCAATTATTAGAAATTATTCAAATAGTGCTAAATATATTTTAAAAGATTTATTTGTAATTAAGCACAAACTACACAATGGGATATCTGTGTTCTGCCTATCACGGGTATCGAAACCAGGTTTATAGCGTTGTAAGTCCGCAGACATACCGCTGTGCCACTATTCTAAAAGGTTTTAAGTTATAAATGCTTATAGATCGGACAGAAGAGACTGATGCAGACTGTCACTAAAACATTTGTAAGTGATTCCTTTTTAAAGTTTTACTGTATTACATACTGAATACTTTGCCTTCCATTAAGATTCCGAGGCCAAATGTTTGGAAATATTCCAAACAATAACCTGTCGTGTTTAGTATTTATATTTTACGTTTGTTATTGGTGTTTTTCTAATGTCATACAATATTTTCTCATTACTATACTTTTAAAATACAGAAAAAAAAATGTTAATTTGA